AGTTTGGGAACCACTGCACTTTGGTTCCCAAAGTTGGGCTAGGGACCCAATTATGGGTCATGAAGCACCTTGGATAATCTCCAGAAATCAATTTAAAGGATAATAAAATAATTGCTGGTGTAATATTTCCCTAAAATTATTACAAAAACACACAATAAGTATAAATAAGTATTTATACTTGTGTGCAAGCTGTTTAGATTGTCAAAAAGCCTGTGTTTTTAGGGTTATTAACAAAGTTTGTGTACTACGACCAGTAATATTTGGGGTCATAAGTTTTTGCCATGAATGTTTTGTGGGTCAGAAGATAAAAAGTTTGGGAACCACTGACTTAGACCACTGCCTGGCTCTGAGTGGTCAAAGGAAAAAAAAATTCTTGGGGACCCCTTTATGGATCCCGAGAAGCTCAGAACACTTTTCTAACCTTGTGTCCTTCATTCAAAGGACGCAAAGGTTTGCTTCTGTGCCGTTCTTCCTCGTTCTGGCCTTTATTACTGTGCCGTACCCCTTTCTATATTTAGGGGTTGTTTACTTGAGWTAAATTAAATCCTCATGTCTGTTTCATCAGAGTCCTTGGAGATGGCGCAACCAAACAAAGGTTTGACCGTGAAGGTGTCCACCAAGCTGCCGCTGGCTGGGTGCGCCGTGTGCACACACAGTGGGGTAAACAGCTCCCAGATTTCCTGCCACTCCACTCTGTCTGTACAACCTGAAGATGTAGACGATCTGCTGTTTAACTGCTCCCAGCAAGCATACGCTGTAAAGATTACCAGCTCTATTGGTGAGTTTTTGGTCCTGGCATATAAACGTTTTACAGGTTTTATGATTCTTTTAAAAGACAAGAATTGTTTAGCTTTAGGAACAAGTGGTACAAGTTTACAGAATGTCATTTGATTATCTCTCTGTTAGCAGAATTATGCAAAACTTACCAGGTCAAATGTTGTGGGACATTAATGAAAAATGTATTGTGTAGGCTTGGTTTCCATACATTTATTTCCTGCTGTTTTTTTTTTCTTAGAAGTGTCGTGTGCTCCAAAAAGTATAACCAATCATATTGTCTTAAACTATAACAGATTGCACTGAGACGGCCTGCAGCCCCCAGACTGTAGAAGTCCAATCATCCATCCTGACGCAGTTCCACAGAACCTTCGTTTGGGAGCTGAAAGCCCCTAAAAAGATGTTTGTGAGTCTCAACGTTCTCGGAGAGGGACTGATAGAGACGTCACAACCTTGCACAGATGGTTTACAGTACTCTGTGGCYCTATCTAAAACCAACATCGAGGACAAGACTCAGTATTGCCGCGGTGGATCTGTGACCCTTTTAAAGCTGGTTAACGAAGCTGTTGTGTCTCTTGAAGTCAAGCCGGAGAAGCAGGTGGACTCCGTGTTGTTTCAGGCCTCTGCTGGACCTTTAAGTAAGAACGACTTCCTGTATAAACGTCTCTTTAAAACACCACATTTAACTGTGTGTTAGCTGACTTTCTGGTTACAAAGACTCATCCGTTTTGCAGTGTTGGCATGTTTTCACTCCACGCAGACACTAAAGTCCACTGCTTTACAATAACTTACATCTATTTAGAAATATTTGCCAGTTAAATGTAATAAAATCTTGGCCTATGAAGTTTTAATACTATTTAGCTAAAGACCAAGTTTCGAATTGATTTGCTTGATAGCTGTTAGGGTTAGTCAGTGGGGTTAAAACTCTAAACACAAAAATTAGACTATGACATCTAGGGCTGCCACAAATTATTATTTTTATATTCGATTAATCATCGATTATTTTTTCGATTAGTTGACTAATCGGATCATACGTTAATTGAATATAAAACATACAGCTTATTGTGCCAGAATGCAGCTGCTATTATATAACCATGGTTAGATTTTAGCTATATGCTAACTAAAAATAATTGCTGTGGAAGRYAAGTTCTGCTCTGCAGATATTRCACAGGTTTCTCTTTCATTTTCTTAAAATGATCCCACACTTTGAGCTCTGTTGTCAGGTAGCCATGATACCAGAGCCTGTCTGTATAATGTCTTGTGACGTCCACGGCCTACCCCAGTTACCACTACTGTGCATGTGTGTCAAGGACAGAAAGGCAGACGTGGCAGAGGAAGGTGTCAAAGCAGTTTGGAGAGAAAAACAAAGTAAAGAACAAAAAGATTAATCGATTATTAAATTAATCATCGATTATTTTAATCGATTAATCGACTAATCGTGGCAGCCCTAATGACAACACATAAATTCTGCTTTAACTGCAAATTTTGATGGTTTGAACTAAGAAAGGTTTGGATAAATAAGTGGATTGTATAAATATGTGACGTTTTAAATATGATAAAAAAACAGATTTAGGAATGAAACAGCTATTTTTCCCCTTTATCCACTTAAATGCTAAACTTAGTTATATTTTGACACAAACAGTAGAGCTGTGCGATCTTACACTTGCTCCATATTCACCAATTGCCTCCTCATTTTCCCTCCATTTTGCACGTTTACGCTATCCTGATTTCAAGAGGGGGAATAAATTGATAGGGCTATTTGTGAAGCTTCATTTATTATTTTTTTCAGAAGCATCTTTAAATAAAATGCTACTGTAAAACCAAAAATTGCTTACAGCAGAGCAAATCAGACAATCGGCTGGAATGAGTGCTAAAATGCTAATTAGCATATGGCTAACTGCAACTTGCCTGTAATTCACCAGCATTCCCAGGTGGTAAAGATGTTTCTCTTTTACATTTACTTATTTTGTTTTAGTAATTTGCAAAAAAATGCTTTCTAGGCTGCAAAACTGAGATCAGAACAACCCAGGGTGGTGTATTCACATTTTTGGCRAACGTGTTGCATTTGTTCACATAAAAAGAATTGGCGACAGCTTTTTTTTCAGCATATGTCTAATTTTTAAAGGAGCTTTTCAACCACTGCTCCTAGTTATAGAATTGAGGGTCAAAGGTTAAAGTATCACTCATAATGTAGGTTAAAAGGAACTGGACCGAAGGTGTTTACACATAAACCAAATGGTTTAAAAATGTCTTATCCAGAGTTTGTTTCTGTCACAAAGTTTTGTTTATATTGACTCTTTTCAGTGGAACCTACAGTCGTAACCATTGGTCCCGGTCTTACTGTTGTCCTGAGTCGTGACCCACGGGAAACTGAGTGTGAAGTCTGCATCCTCGGCGGCGCCGCTCCTGATTGTAGCTCAACTGAAAAGACACTAAAGAGTGCTGGAAAGATCTCGCTGGAGTTTAGCTGTGTGAAGCCTCAGAATGTGTTCAATGTGAAGATGATGACGAGAATAGGTACACAGTATTAATTACTGGTTCACTGGTTTTTTAGTTTAGATTTACTCTGCATTACGTGTGTGAAAGTTRGAAAACAAGTTCTTAAATGCATAAGAAGTGCTAACTAAAAGGATTTTGTTTTAGATTTTTGTTTTCATTGATGCTTGAGTTTTGATTTCGTTGCCAAACTTATTTCCTCAGGTTGCACAGAGAGCACCTGTAGTCAAGCTGCAGCTGAAGTGGATCCAGACCTCTTCAAGGACTTCAAGAGAACCATTGAGTGGTACATTACCATCCCGGACAGAACTGTTTTAACTTTGGACTTTCCTAATTACGGACTGAAGGAAAACTCGGCCACGAAAAATTGCCAGGACGGCTTTCAGCACACGGTGAGCACCACTAAATATGATGGAACAACCAAAACGAACAGCTACTGCAAAGGTGGCTCTGTGTCTAAACTCGAGCTGCTCGGAGCAACSACTGTGACGCTTGACGTGCCCAAAGGAGGCGAAATGGCCAAGACCGCATTCAATGTCAAAGCAGCRCAAAGGAGTGAGTAAATGTTAACAACACTGTTTTCCATGAACAACGGGTAAACATTGTATCCTTAAATGTATATCTTTTCTCTTTAGGTGGCAGATTGATGTCTGTGACCTCTGACCCTAACACCATACTCCTCATCAACAGGGTGAACGTAGTGCCGGACTGTAAAGTCTGTGTAAATCAGGGGTCCARTCAAAAATGCAACCCCCAGTCTCTGCAACTGCGCAACCCTTACCAGACTTCRGTTGAATTTACCTGCCCACAACCTCAGGATGTCTTCAATGTGGAGATAAACAGAGAGATTAGTACGAACACTTAAAGTATTTTGGGGGCGAATAAACAAATTTAGAAAATTTTAACCACTATCTCTCATTTGTTTTGGCTTTAGACTGCAACGCAACGTCCTGCCCTGCCAATCTTGTCCATGCAGAGAACACGTTCTTCCCCGACTTCAACCGGACTTTCACCTGGGACTTTAAGACGGTGTCCACTCGAGCCGTCCARCTGAGCTTTCCGGAACAGGGAATGCGGCAGATTTCCAACCAGCAAACGTGTCCGGAGGACCACACGTACTCGGTTGTTGTCTATCTGCGCACGGGGCTGACGAACATCGGCACCTTCTGCAAAGGAGGGCCCGTGACCACGGTTCAGGCTCTTTACAAGGGCCGTTTTATCCTGTATGTTCCCAGGAACGTCGAGCTGGACCCTGTCGATTTCAAAATTGACGTTGGACCTACTACTACCAGTAAGTCTGCCTGTATTCTTGAGTTTTGGACTACACTTAGCACAAAACCTAAGGAAGTTAGTGTTTGGTAGATTATAGCTTTTTCTTTTTAAAGGCACAGTGTGTAGGATTTTGTCTATTCTTTTAGCC